TCCGATTTTACGAATTATAACAATTTTAATTCGGACATTCTGACAGAATATGTTTATTTATTTAATTAATTACTCAAAAATAAAAATATTCTTGAACAATAAATAATAAAAATATTCTTGAACCTATTTCTTGATCATGACTTTAAGAACTTCTTGTAGAATAACAAATTCTTGAACAATCAATTGAAGAATAAAAACAAAAAATACATTATTTGTTATAGAATACGGGTAACAATTGTTAAGAATTACATTTATTGTTAAAGAATAAAACTGAAAAAGATTTCAAAATGGGAAAGAAAACATCAAAATCTAACAACGTCTAATACATTCTAAAAGAATAATGTGGTCCGTTTTAATTTTGTGGTCCGTTCTTCAAGCATCAACTTCTGTGATTCCAACAGAATTAGAATTCGTGATTCCATTCCAACAGAATTGGAATATGTGATTCCATTCCAATAGAATTGAAATCTCACCAATATTATCCATTGAATTATCTACATAAACATATTTGATACATTTTCAGAATTCAACCTAGTCAAGATCCTGCACTATCCACATAAATGAAGTGTTAAATCAGAAAAAAAAACATAAATTAAAATATGAATCAGACCATTTGAATAAGTCCCTTTGCTGCATTAATGAGACCATTTGAAAGAAACACATATGATCTCAATATCACTCAAAACCCCCAAATTCCACTTGAATTGGAATTGTATAAAGAAAATTCTAATTATCTATTTATGTACAGGTAGTCTACAAAGAAGAATGTTCTAAGTAATAGAACAGGCAAAAAAGCAAAGTCTTTATACAAGCTTATTTGAGTCAGAAACCTCACAAAAATAAGCTTACCACATAAATCGTTGATCCTTTTGGCCATTTCCTTTACATCTTTTTCGGTTTTCTTGATGCTTGTGGAATATGGCCCCAATCCCTGCATAAGTCTTCATCAATTCAATTGCGATAAACAGAACATTTCAACCAACACAAACTATTAACTCAAACGTTTCTCTATAATGCCCATGAACTCTTAGTAAAATGCAAGATAAAGATCAAACTATCTTAAGTTCCTAACAACTGAAGGCATTTAAAAATCAATTTCAAATCAAATTGTATTAAATCGCAGCAATTCATCAGCGCACAAAGCTAATCTTTCACCCGATCCCTAGTGTTGCTCGATGGTTTAACAAGTTAAAAAGAACAAGAGCCAATTAAATAAGGGCATAAAGTGGAACAAGTATTAGGTATTTAGTTTGTAAGAATCACGATTTAACTCACATAAGTCTTGAGAAGAGCGATATCGTCTTCATCAAGATGGGTAAGATTCTTCTCGTCCATAATCTTATCTTCTATGTCAGTCGGCATCGCTTTTTTTGTTGCTACAGGAGGGCAATGATTTGATTTGGATCTCCTCGATGGAAAAATGTTTCTTTGGTTCTTCATTCACTATGAGTTGATCATCTGTATAATCATCCAACGATTCATCATCAAAATTAGGGTTTAAACTAGGGGTCTGTGCCGATTCATTAAACCCAAATCGTAAACCAATCGGATTAAAAGAAGAATCGGGATCACTACCTGATGGTGTAACCGATGCATCGGGATTAGGTTCCGAAGGCGGAGACATCCGATTGGGGTGAAGACGTTGTCCTTTAATACGACTACCCATTTTCACGCAACCATCGTCAATCGAACCACGTCTGGTCTGAATCGCCATATGGAATCGTCGCAGACCTGCTCAGTTCTTCCTTTTCACGCAACCATCTCCTTGTGCTTGCAGGCTTGAAAACAAACTTACGGGAGATTTAAGGAAGATAGCAAGATATGGATAAAGAAGGTTACCAATACGCATGATGGAAGAGGAATCAGAGATAACGACGACATCTTTTACCCGCCGATGCTTTGATTTTCCTTTCTTAAACCTCAAATTCTGAAATCAGTTTCCATTCAATTAAATTCTGATTTCGGTTTTTGGATTAACGAGGGCAGATTTCTATTCCAAATCCTGTTAGGACCCAAAAAGATGTAGATTTCTAATATATATGGGTTAAATTCTGAAGTCAATGGTTACCATAAATATAAGATATTATTTGTGGAAACTAATTATCAAATTACCTATTTATCCTTATTTAATTATTTAATTATTTATTTTTGATTTAAATTTTGATTGACCCACATTTATGCATACAATAACACAATAATTACTTTAAACACCTGAACCCAACTCTCTCTCTCTCTCTCTCTCTCTATATATATATATATATATATATATATACACACACACACACAAATACACACACACACACACATATATATATATATATATATATATATATATATATATATATATATATATAAATATAAATTAACAATTGTATAGATATTTATTTACAGGTATATGTCAATAATTGAGAGCTTATAAATAATAAAATACTAAAAAAATGTAAATCCTGAAAATAAGGTACTTCTAGTTTCGACCCTATAACTTTATTATATTGCAATTTGGACCCTAAGTAAAAGAAAGTGTGCAAAGAAGACCCTAGTGGCAATTTCGTAATATGGGATGTTGGGGAAGTACGATGAGCGTACTAGGGCGCACCCTAGTATGCTGGGCATACATATGTACACATGACGTATGTGTCAAACATGAAAACCCTAATTTTCAGGGTTAGAATCATATTTAAACACCTTTATTGAAGGGTTTTGAGCATTCTAACACTCATAAGGTGTACATGCATCCCTAGAAACTTTGGATCTATGTTTTACTACGATACATGCAAAATTGTTTTTCCAAGGTTCTTAACCTATCTAGCATAGCATGGGGAACTTTTAAACATAAATGCTAGAAGAAGAACACACCTTTTGTTGTTTGGATTCCTTGAGAACCTTGTGAGCCTAACACCTCAAGTGTGATGCCTCAAATGTCTCACACAACACCACAACACTTGGAAAAACCTTGAGAGAATTTCACTAACACTCAAAATTCGGCTAGCCCTCTTATTGTTGACTGTGGTAGTGCCAATTTTGCTAGTCTAGGGGTCTTTATATAGTTGTGGTACAAGTAGGGTTATACCATGTAAATCCTGATTGTCATGGCTTTCCATATTTCATGATCCATGGGTTTGTAACCTCCATCGACTATCCATGGAGCACCTTATAGGTTTTAGCCCAATCCATACAAACTATAAATCATTAGCCCACTATACAAGAATAAATGATTTACACAATCAACCCCATATATTTAAATAGTCTCTTTTTGACCACTTAATTAATTCCAAATTAATTCTTTGATCAATACTAATTAAATAATATTATTAATATATTAGAACTTATAATATATTAATAATCCTTAAGTGTCCTTTCTCTCATTTAGTCTATCCAAGTATTGCAATGTCATGCAATCCAAATGGACCATGCTAACCGGGTCAAGTACATTCCAGGAATAGTTATGAACTTAGACACCTAATCCAACAATTATAGCCTAATTTCCCCTCACCTCATTAGCCTCCATCATTTTGATACGTTTTTGCAACCCTAATCCATCTTGTGAAGCATTTCGAAGCTTGAGTGCATGTGTTTTGTGTTTTTAAAGAAAAAGAAAGGAAGAAGAGACCACCTTGGAGGAGTGAAGTTCTATAGATCCATGATCACACCACCTTTTGGCACCATTTTGTGGTATCAAGTTATGAACTTGGTGAAGTTTCATTTAGATCTTGTGTTGGAATGATTTTTGGTCCCTTTTGTCACAAATATGGAGATTCTCCAACATGGAATGTTTTCGACCCATTAAGTCATCCCTTTAGCCCTTAGGGAGAGTTTTGAGTCATAAAAATGGGTTCCAAATGGTTGGTTTTACTCCATGCATCATTTAGAAGGTCTTAATGGACTAAGAAGTTGAATTAAGCACTTAATGGAGATGCAAAGTCATAAATTTGGAAATTATGGCTCTTGAGGGTATTTTAGCCATGGATCGGAAAATGGACGTGAGAGCTTAAGCCATTAAGCTCTTAATAAAGGTTTTGGGCATTTGGGAGTACGCCCAGCGTACCTTGAGTACGCACCCCATACGAGGTCAACCACCCTGATGGTGGTCAACATTCGAGTACGCCCCGCATACTCACTTTGTGGTGACTCGGCTGAGTTGACTCAGTTGGGTTAACTCGGTTGGGCTGACTCAGTTGATTTGACCAGATGAATTTAATATGTTGAGTATGGAATAGATCTGTATGATTATATGCTAGTTGCTAATATGCTAGTCTGGTAGATCTGTAGGACTACATGTGATTCTGTTTGCATGATTATATGTATATGTTTGTTATATGTTATATATTGACATATTGTGTTGGGTGCTGCTTTGTGTTGTAGCCAACACACCCTGGAGCATTCTAGATATGAGCTGAGGGCCGAGTAGGTCTTGTCAGACTCATAGTGAGGGCTTAGGAGCATTCCAGATACGAGCTGAGGACTGAGTGGTATGCCAGACTTGTATTGACGACTTGAGGGTATTTCAATCTGATGACTGATTAGGTTAGGGAGCAAGCCAAACATAAGTTGTGGGCCCCGAGGGCAGGCCATACTTATTTTGTGGGATCAAGGGTAATCCAGTCTTCTAACTGTAGACCCAGTACATGTTGTTATTATATATGTGCTGATACTTTGGGGGAATTCACTAAGCTTTGCCTTACAATTTTTAGTTGTGGTTTCAGGTACTTCGGACGATCACGGGAAGACGAAAGCGTGACCGTACACATCCTCTGTTTTATGTACTTTTGATCTATGAGTTACTATGATATGGAACAATATTTTGAAAACAATGATTTTGTAAACATTCTATGATTTGAGGTTGCTTTAAAAAGCTTAAATTTCTTGTGATATAATGTATATTACAAAAATATCTAAGAAATAAGAAAAAATAAACATGATAAAAAATTTATAAAAATGATTTTTATTTTTTGCAATAATTATATATATATATATATATATATATATATATATATACTAGAGCATTTTAAGGCCCGTGCTAAGCACGGTCCATGGAGGGTGATTTGGGAATTTTTGAATCGTCATCAAAATATATTTTTCTAATACCGAAAAAGTGCAAGTACATTGTGGTCTAGTACTACTTTCATTTTTTTTTTACATGTTTGTACTTAAAGAAGCTTCTAAGTTATCAGACATCCCAAAACCTATCCATACAAACAATTAAAAATTAAAGACAGAGTAATCAGAATATGCTATCCTGAATTGAGTTGCTTGAATAGAGGCTTGTTTGGTAGTACATTACATCTATGGTGTACCTATCCATTCACCAAGTAGTTGGAAAGGTAAAGGTCATGAGTCTTTGTTCTCCGTAGGCAATAGTATTTCTCAAGCACCAACTTTGTAGGCTCGGTCTACAAGTGAGAATTCGGAACCATTTATGAATATAAATGCAGGAAATCATCATTAGTCTATATATATATATATATATATATATATATATATATATATATATAAGTGAACAAGTATAAGTTAAAGCACATTTTAACTTCGGGGTCAAATGGAGTAATTTTATTTTTATAATTTCTAGGAACCATTTTAATGTTTCCAAGCAAATTTAGATAATTAAGTTAATCACTTTAGCCAAGGAAACTACGAACATCTTTTTCCAAATCATGTCATATTTATGAAAAACATTTTTGTGACGATGTAATTAATACATATCGTTTTCACATTTTGAATGAAATATGCTTGACCTAAAACTCAATGTATACCCTTTTTAATGGAAGTGTACCAAACTTCTATTAGAAAGGTACCCATAAGAGATGTAGATATAAAGATGCCATTTTATAAATCCAAAAGAACACACTTCTAGAGTTGATACGTCAAAAGAAGGAAAGTTTGGCTTTAGGGGTCAAGCCAATTAATTTTCAAACTTATATACCTTTCATGCCAGCACCAAGTAGAAAGTCTAACAAATATAATTAACACATGCAGAGAATATATGCTTCATGGTGTTAAATATGGCCATGCCGGTCGACACTGAATAAGCCCAATCTTTCTTATGTTTGCCTTCTACCTCAATGTAAGTCTTGTTTGTGACATCAAAAGCTATACATTTAATGTTCTAGTAAAAAGTTAAAAGTAAATTAAGAATGAACTAAGAAAATGGCAAAGTGAGATCATGAATAAATGAGCTTGAATTTGAGAACTCCACATCAATTCTTAGTTTCTCAGAGTATCAAACACAAAAATTAAAAATAGGACATCTGGTCACATTATAATATATCAGATAAATGGAAGATTTAAGTTTAAATATATTCCTAACGGGTACTGCAAAGAGACTCTTTACACCTTTTTTTTTCAATCTCGACAAGTATTTCATAAGTGTAATGCTTCAACCACTCCACGTGCCCCCACTTGACTCTCATGCAAAAAAAGAATTAAAAAGTAAATAAGGGCAGATTGTGAAAAAGGCCATGAATTAATAGGCGAAGCCCCATTTCCCTAACTTCACTCTTAACTTCATTAACAAAAAGAGAAATAGAGCAATGAGATAAGGATAGTTTTTGAAAGAGGTCATCAGTTATTTTAGAACTATAACAAAATAGAAAACTTGGAGCGTTTTTATAACAAAAATATTATTAAAGGTAAGAAGTTAAACAAATGACCTCATAAGCCGTAAGCCAACTTGTGGTTATTGTGTGACCAACATTGAAGACTCAAATGAAAATATTATCTTAGAAAAATGGTGTTGGGCTCCTTGATGATTTCACTGTAACTACAAGCCAACATACATAACTGATGTACATAATTTCAAAAAACTATATTTTAGCAAAAGTAGATTGAAATGTCGTCATAGATATCAATGTTGAATATAGAAACTTGCCTTCATTTGTAACCAACATATAATGTGCTTTTGCACCATAAGAAAAAGAATATAATGTGCTTTTGCACCATAAGAAAAAGAATAATGACCTGTGATGGGTAATGTCGGTATTTTTCTCAAGAGTAGCATGCACATAACGGCACTTTGGGTGTTGCCGTTGGTTCTCAAATACAACTGTTTTAAATGTTGTTGAAATTAGAACCTCCACCACTTGAAATTTTCTATGATTTAAAAAGAAAAAAAAACAAAAAAACAAAATAAAATTGAAACCTATACAGATTGCAGAAAAAAATGAAACCAAATTCAAATTGGTTTAACTTGGAAACCTGGAAAACCATATATACTGTCAAAATTAAATTAACATAAAAGCAATGAATACTCTCCATAAATCCAGAAACTGAGAGTGAAACCAAACTTAAGTAACCAGAGAAAGAAATAGACTTAATTAAAGCAAAAACGAAGAATAAACAGAAAAGACAAAGATGAACATTCATTAGAAGTGGAGAAGATGAGATCATTAATGGTTATATCCCTACCCAACTTCCTAGAATTATTAACCTTCAAAACTCAGAAACCAAAGCCAAAATCGAAAAATATAAATATATATATGAAGAAAGACAGTTGCGTTAACCACATAATATATAGTAAGAAAGAACTTTTGGCTAAAATCTAAAACATAATTCCACAATCGATTAATATTCAAAATGAAGACTAAAGAGAGATTTGGACCATAGTAGAAAATTAAAAAAGAAAATCAGAATGAAATCATGAACATTCATCAGAAAACATATAATAAGACATAACATTTGAATTGCATCCAAAACCTAACTCCCAAATTGATTGATTTTCTAACCCAATAATCAATAAACAGTGAAAATACTAAGACATATTAAGAAAACGTACATGATAAGCGGGAGAATGAAGACGGACTGCTCATACAACTTTTGGATGGAGGTGAAACGCCATCTTAGAAGGTTGAAGAAGCACCATCTTAAACATAGACAATTTGAATAGATCAACTAATAAACATGATTTGAAGTTAGGGATTTACGTAATTGAATGTCGACTGTGCTTATTTGAACCTTACACATGGCGCCCGATTTGTGGTAAATGGAGAACGAGTTGTCGAACGGATAAATGGAGAAGGATGGACGATGCATCGGCAGTAGGGAACAAGCGTCTGACTATAGAATTCTAGGATATAAAGACGATACAACAAACGGAACATGAGTCGATAAGAATCGATGTTAATCTTGATGGCGCCGTTTCAGTAAGTGGGTGTCGTGGCGTCTAATGAAGCGGGTGAAATTGATTTAGGCGACGTTGAGAAA